AAAGGAAGTCTTGACCCTAGCAAGTGCTGAGTGAAAAACTGCGGGATCCGGCATCTCTATGCTGGGGAACCAATGCAGATGCTGGAGAACAATAAGCCACATCTTCAACAGAACGGGACACATTAGGAAGAGAACAATGAAGGAAGATCACTTTCCAGCTACTTGCACTTTTGTTCACAAATTTTAGGAAACTATAAATTTCTCCCATTTTATTATTTGTGTTTGTCTCTATAAGAATGTATGGGCATATTTACACGAGAGAGAGATCCAAGTTACGTAAAACATTACCGTTGTCATAAAAACGAAATGGTGATTTTGTATAGTTGATGAGGTGTTTGGGAGGAAAAGAGTATGAAAAGAGTTTGATTGAGTTGCAGAGAGATAGAGATGGATTCATGCAGAATTTGATAGAGGAGCATAAGAAAAGGACTCCTGCGCGAGAGATGAGAGACAGAGAGAGGGGGAGAGATAGCAGAGAGACGAGAGAGAGAAAGAGAGAAGGAGAGTTAGCCTTGGTTTTTACTAAAACGGTGGATTTCTGTCGACTAAGAATTAAATCTCTAAGAACACTCACAGTAATCTCTTACTGATTAATTAAGAGTTAATGTTACAAAATAATATAGAGAAGACGAGAATTTATAGTAGTTCAGTAAGATTTATTGGCCTAGTCTACTTGTGGATGTACTAATACTTTATTGATTACAATCTCTCTGGAGTAATTGAATAGTGCGTAAAAAAAAACTTAATGAATTCCCATGACTCTATTTTTAGACATTGTACACATGAGAGACCTCATCTACATTTTCTGAGGAGATCATCATCTATCCCTTAATTCTGGGATTTGACAGTTGTATTTTTATGATTATTGCTTCCAGATCAGGCTAACCACCCTTACCGGCTACCTGATTTCCTGACTCGATAGTAGTAGTTAGTACAATGCATCTTCCCTTGAGTTGACAAGACTATCTTTGAATTGGACCAGGCTGCTACCTCGACGTTGTGACCCCCATAACTCAGGCGGGGTTCTCGACGTCCGTTACCCTGCATGAACTCTCGACGTATACAGGACACCTTAAGTACGATCGTCCCCTCGATGCCGGTAACCGATTCTCGACATGGAAGCCTCGGCGCTTGTCGTCTAAAGAAACGATCGATTCCTCAACCGTAGTTAGGGCTGTTCATGGGTTGGGTTGGTGTGGGGTATGACTTTTTTTTCCCCGTCCCAAAGGGTGCGGGTTGCACATATTTGGCCCCAACGATGTAAGAAAACTTTTACAACCCAACGATGTTCGGGTTGAGTTGGGACGGTGCGGAGTGGGTTGGGTGGTCGGTTTCAACATTCAAAAAATCAAAGACTTAAAGTTCAATATAATATTCAAACTTCATCATTAAATAGAAATAGCAACCATCCTTATTAGTCCGGCGAGAGAGCACCGGAGAAAGTGGGCAAGACGAGATGATTGAGCAATGAGGAGAGAGTTATGAGGAGATTCACGGGAGGGGAAGAAGAGGGAAAACTGAAAAAGAAGAGGCAAGAAGAGGGGGTTCATGAGAGGGGAGACCGAGAATGAGATTGTGAACCCTAATGTTAGCGAGTCTAGGGGAGAACTTGGACAGCTCGGCTTGGGCCGAAAGTTTGAGGGTATGTTGTGCGGGTTGGGTTGGGGATTGTGGGTTGTTATGGGCCCAACCCGTAATCCGCCCCAAACACTTCGGGCCAAAGGTATAATGAGCCGCAAATTTAAAAATAATACTGTGAGTTACTTTTTTCGGTTTGGGTTGGGTTTGCGGGTTGTTCGGGTTTATGAACAGCCCTAACCGTAGTGTAACAACATTCTTTAATAAGATTACATGTCTTATACATAATTAATTATGTTAAAAATTTAATAAAATTAGACAAAAAAGACTCAACTGTTATTTTTTAAAAAGATTAGAGTCGTTTTACTAAATAAAAAATTAAGAACTAAATTGTCATTTATTAAATAATTTGGAAATTATATGTACAATTTATCCTAAAATAAAATAAAAGGAATGGGTTTTTTTATTTTGTTAAATTGAGGGCGGGGAAGAGCCCCTAGAATTGCAAAAGAATCACAATTCACAAACAGAGAAGTTCCGTTCCGAGCAAACCTTCTTACACACCGCCCACAGCAAGATTATCCATTTCTCCTCCTGCATTTCTCTCTCTCTCTCTCTCTCTAAAATCTTGTTTCAGAAATCTCATGAAATCCGTATATATCCCACAAAACTCACCAAAGAATTAGAAAGAAAGCAGATTCCTTTCGCCATTTTTTCACCCAAATTCATCACCACGAACAACAGCAACAACAATGGAAGCAAGCATGTTCACGAAGCTCTCCGACGACGTCGTTCTCAACATCTTCGCGAAGCTGGACGACGACCCTCGCAACTGGGCAAGACTCGCCTGCGTCTGCACCAAGTTTTCGTCTCTGATTCGCAACGTCTGTTGGAAGAACAAATGCCTCGCCGCCATCCCTTCAACAATCTCCGACCTCCTCTCCTCCGCCTCCGACCCTCCCGGCGGCTGGGCCTCCCTCCACAAGCTCGCCGTCTGCTGCCCCGGCCTCGTCCACTCCGGCGTTCTTCTCGAGAATTCTGATTTCGGCTTGGAGCGGGAGATCGGACCCGACGACAATTATCGTCAATTAGCCCCTTCCCAAACCCTAACTGACCCTTCCTCGAGCCAATTCAGCGCCGATTCCGAAGGAATCGCCCCCAATTCGGATTGCTCGTGGTCTCTCTTCGACGATCTCTACTACGACACCGTTTACCACGCCTCCGAAGGCCAGGATTCCGCGCAAATCGCCGAGGAGGTTGTGATTGAGAAAGGCGTGTTCAAGTCGGAGAATCGGGAATGCGCGAAAAGGCGGAGGATTTGTCGTCCGATGAGGTCGCATTTGGCTTCCGGTGTTTGGAATTTGAGCCGCGAACAAGGGAACAAGCTTCTCCATAGCCGTTTCCGTGGAGATTCTCTGTACATATGCGATTGGCCTGGGTGTGTTCACATTGAAGAGAAGCGGAATTACATGCTGTTCAGAGGAGTTTTCAAGGACTTCAAAGCGTCTCAGGTATGGAGGACAGTCAAAGATGGGAATCGGACGGCAATCGATCTGAATTGCGCGTTTTGCGGCTGCAAAGACACTTGGGATCTCCACTCCGCCTTCTGTTTGCGGCGGGGCTTCGGGTTCCACGATGATGGTGAGCCTGTTGTTCGAGCTTACGTTTGTGAAAATGGACATGTCTCTGGTGCTTGGACTGATTTGCCATTGTACACTTGATGATATTAGACTCTTTGGTTGTTTGAGATTCTGTTTGCGTTTTCATTCATGTCTTGTTTGTATCTCTCATGAGTAGAGAAGTAGATCATTTGAGTAGCGGAAAGGCCATTTGATCAAGTTTTCTTGTGTTTTTTATTTATGGGTTTTGTGATTTGGTTCTGTTTATTGCCCAGTTCTTGATTTGATGAATTTTATTCATGGGGTTTACGATTCAAGCCTTAAAAAGCTATTTGTATTGTGATATAATAAAGGCAAGTAGGCAGCAGAACTAAAAAAGATGGTTTGGGGTAATTTGTTTATGTATCAGCATGACCTCTTGTTCTCAATTCAGATAAATCTGATAGAATTTGTGTCTGATGAAATCTGAATGAGGGATTTCTGGTTTATTTTGGATGCTAGCTGCTTGGACTACTAAACTGATTCTGAAGGGAGAAGTCTGAAAAATGACAAGTGTACAACCACAAAGCTAGCTTTGCAAGGTGTTAATTGTTAAACACAACTTTATTCTTTTCATTTTTAATTTTTATTAGCTAAACATGAATTTTGTTGGGTTGTGGGATTTTGTTGGTTTGTGAGTTGCGTCTACATGAAAACTAATTTTTTTTAAATATATATATATATATATCTACCATGCGATTGCGTTTTCATTTTTTTATTTACTTTAACAGAAGCTAGCGTGTCTTCCGCTCCGGACTCCTGGAATTTGTTATATAAAATTGGTGCTGGGCTTTTGCCTTTTGGTGAGTCGGTGACAAATGGTAAAAGCAAGAACACAACTGTAGGAGAATCTTTTGAATACGAAACCAACCAAGAATGCGATTGAAAAGCAAAACACAAATATGAAAACAATGCTTCTAGCAAAATGTCAATAACAGATTTATTTATTTATTTTGCTAGAAGTCAATAACAGAGTATGTAACAAAATTTGATTAGCAAAAAAAAAAAAAAAAGCAAAATTTTTAAAATATTATAAAAATAAAAAATTTTGATATCATTACAATAATCATTATATAGTACAAAATGTTATATGATGTAGTGTAATTATCTCTCGAAAAAAAGGTGTCCAAAATCCAGTTACTCCATTTGAAAAGCTTAAACTGCGAATATATGCAACTCTTTCAGGTTTTTTCAGTGGGGGACCTGAAGACTTTTATGAGGGACTTATCATTATTATTATCATTATTATCATCATTATTATCATTATTATTATTATGATTATTATGATCATTATCATCATCATTATCATCATTATTATCATCATTATCATTATTATTATTATCATCATTTTCATTATTATCATCATTATTATTATTATTATCATCATCATCATCATCATCATCATCCTGCAAGTAGTAAATTAGAAGTGTCAAAGAGTCTAACGCTTTTGCTGCTCTCTCTCTCTGGAGCTGTGGCTTTACCAAAATGATCGGGCTGTCAATATTAATGCAAATCATTGTGATAAGTATAGCACTAACACTAGAAGTAATTTGCGATGGCTGTAAATACAGCAGAAACGACTTTCCTCCAAATTTCATTTTTGGTTCTGGCACTTCTGCTTACCAGGTCTGTCTCTTTTACTTTAGTTTCTTTGGCTTTCGTTTTTCTTTCTCTCTTTGGATACATGATTAGATTCTCCTAAATGAGTTGAAAATTATATGTGCGTTTGTACATATATATATATATATATAGATGATATAGAAAGAGAAAATACTAATGTGTACATTCATGAAAGGTGGAGGGAGCGGCAAATGAAGATGGTAGAACGCCAAGCATATGGGGCACCTTCGCTCATGCTGGTCCTTTTTTTTCCGCTTAGTTATGTTGCCCAAGCTTTTCCATTTTCTTTTTTTTTTCTTTTTTTCTTTCTCTACACATTTTCATGGTTTATGTATGGAATTTCGCAGAGCTTACCCTGTTTTCAACCCCCAATAGACCAATTTCTCAAAGAATTTTATTTATTTCCAGTATTTGTAGTAATTCCTATTAGTATTGTGATTAAACAGGCTGATTATTGTTCTTTTCGTCTAATGTATATTAGATGAAAAAAAGTAGTTAATGAACTGATATATTAGTTGGCACAATTAAGTTGATAAATGACATCAACAAAAGAGCATAGGTTTTCAATTTTTTTTCAATTGAAAAATCTAAATATTTCCAATTTTTGAGGTTCAGGGTTTGCGCATGAAGATACTGGAGACGTTGCTTGCGATCAGTACCACAAATATAAGGTCTTATTTCCAGATGTTTCTCATTTTATGATTCTATGAGGTTAAAAGGGAAAAAAGAAAAAAAAAATTTCACATCAGATTTCCAAGGACTACTAATTAACATTCTTTTCCCGGCTATAATGTTTAAGGAAGATGTGCAACTCATGGCTGACATAGGCCTTGATGCCTATAGATTTTCAATCTCTTGGCCAAGACTCATTCCAAGTATGTTAACTCAACAGTCCTCGCTCGTATTATTCGCCAACATGAAAAGAGTAAAAATAAAAAGTCTATTTTGTGGATAATCTTGTGGTAGCATATGAAAAATTACTCTATCGGCAAGATACAGTTTTGAACCGTTATATCTACAGCAAGTTCATTAAATTCTCATACTCTTTTTTTCATATGATATGATTTTGATGTGATTGGACAGTTCAGATGTGTCTTACTGATAGGGTATCTTTCACACCCTACCATAAAATTTTCATTCTAGTCTTATGGTGTTTCTGTGATAACGTTGATGTTCTAAATTTCAGATGGAAGAGGACCTGTCAATCCAAAGGGCTTACAATACTACAACAATCTCATCAATGAACTTCTCAGCCATGGTTGAGCAAAATTTCCATCTCAAGTGAAGCAAAAAGTTGGAAGTACTTTTATATTACTGAGGTGGGATTGTTTATTTATTACTGAACAGGAATCCAACCACATGTTACATTGGTTAATTTGGATCATCCACAGGCGCTTGAAGATGAGTATGGAGGATGGGTTAGCAGGAAGATGGTGTACAGCTTTTATATCAATCTCTTTTTGAGTCGCTGAATTCCAAGGGGAATATGAATGCAACTGAATTATTTTTCTATGCAAAATGCAGGAAGGACTTGTTCGATACGCGGATGTGTGCTTCGGAGAGTTTGGGGACAGAGTTAAGTATTGGACCACGGTGAATGAGCCCAACATAGCGGGCAATTGAGGTTATGACACAGGAATTGCACTGCCTGTGCGATGTTCTCCTCCATTTGGTTTCGTAAATTGTACCAGAGGAAATTCCTCAACCGAGCCATATTTGCCAGTTCATCATATCTTGCTGGCACACGCATCAATTGTAAAACTGTACAGGAAAAACTATCAGGTGCAATTTCAAACCAGCCCTTTCCTTTTAGCATTCTGTATTGTATCCTGACAAAAAGATTTGTTATGACTAATGTTGGAAAGGATTTTGACTCTTTGACCAACTTGTTACGATGCAGGACAAGCAACATGGTTTTATAGGTCTCACTATCTATGCTTATTGGTATGTTCCTTACACATATACAAAAGAAGACATCATTGCAACTCAATGAGCCAACGATTTCCTTATTGGCTGGTAAATTACAAACTTCTGTGACTCTTAAATTTCTTCTGTACTTTATTGCTTTTATACTTGTATTACTATATGTTATAATGTTAAGTTTAATTTTGAAATCTTGAATCTCGTCTTTAATGTCCATGACCATATTTTTTCTGCTGAGTTTGAACTAATACAGCCTTTGTATATTGTGCCCATATGATTTTGTTTGCAGGGTTCTAGACCCTTTGATTTTGGGAGACTACCCCAACACTATGAAAGAAAATGCAGGCTCCAGAATTCCATCCTTCACAAAACTCGAGTCGAAAATGGTTAAGGGTTCATTTGACTTCATAGGGCTAGTACATTACTCGGTTGTCTATGTCAAGAATAGTCCTATAAGCTTGATGACTAAAAATAGAGACTATAGCGCCGACCGAGCGGTGAACTTACGTACGTCAATTACAGTCTTACATATTTTCATTACTAATTAAAACCTAACTAAACTCGGTAGATATTCCTGTATTTATACTCGTTGGTTCTCACCCAAAGCGTTATTTTCATTCTGAAATTTTCCACGCTGTTTGTGGTTGTCGCTGCAGCATTTGCTGATCCAGTGTGGGGATTTGAGGTAAGATTTGGTAAATTAACTATGTAGTCTTTGTTTTACTTGCATCAATTCAGTTTATCCTTATTTAGTCTTCTCAACTTTCTCTCAGCTTTCCATCAACCCTTGGGGGTATTGAAGGAGTTTTGGAGTACATTAAACAAGTTTATGGAAACCCGCCTGTATTTGTCTATGAAAATGGTCTCTCTCTCTCTCTCTCTCTCTCCCCAAGTAGATCATACTATAGCTTGATGTTTATCCATCCTTCTTGGAACATAATTTTCTGTAATTAGATAATACCATCAAACTATTCTAACTATTCTCTCTCTCTCTCTCTCTCTCTCTCTCTCTCTCTCTCTCTCTCTCTCTCTCTCTTCTCTCCCCTTCAAGTAGATCATACTATAGCTTGATGTTTATCCATCCTTCTTGGAACATAATTTTCTGTAATTAGATAATACCATCAAACTATTCTAACTTTATTGGTCCATTCAACTTTAACCAATAGAAAGGATGTAAGAGTCAAAACAAACAAATCCCAATGTTGTGACCAAATATAACCCATAAGCTAAAACAATTTTGACCCTCATTTCCTACATAACAAAGTATCTTTTTCTTTTCTTTTCATGTTAGCTGTTAAACTGAGTATCACTATCACATAACAGATGGCAAACAATCTTATCATTTTTTCTCTAGATTTTGCCTTTCATTGTATGCTGTTTGGCAGGGATTTATAGAAGCACAGCATTTTATTTTTTCATAACACATCATATCTTATGGGACAATCTTGCCTTGTTGTTCAATGTTAGGTCAGCGGATGCGACAAAAATCGTCACTAGAAGACATCCCGAGAGTCGAATATATACAAGCGTGCGTAATGCCTTGAGGTATGTAACATGTATTTATTTATGTGCCTAATAGGCCTGAGGCTTGTCATAACTTATTGTAATGTGTTTTAACCTTCTGTCTATGTTGCAATCTCTTATTCATTTCCTTGCTTGCTTTGTCCTCAAAATTTTCAAAGGAATGGATCAAACACAAGAGGGTATTTCATATGGTCTTTCTTAGATGTGTTCGAGATATTTGGCGGTTATGAGTCGTACTAGGTTGATTTTGATGACCCTGATTTGAAAAGATATCCCAAGCTCTCCGCTCACTGGTATTCCCAGTTTTTAAAGGGTAAAAGGGTTGATCCAGAGGAAGTAACAATAGCGTTTGAAGAGAATTCATCAGCTCTTCCCTCATAATTTGACCACTTTGAGCAAGTTCTACTTCTTTATTGTAAGATAAGATGGTAACCATCTTGATGGTGGTTAATGAAATTACTATCTAACTTTCATGATCTACTTTTGTTGCAACTTTTAGATTGTAGTAATACTGAAACGGCGTCGTCTGGTAATGGCTGGTATAGTGGTGCCCGTTTGGCCGTTTGTGTCCATACTCCTAGTGCATACCTCAAACAAAAAACTGCCAAAAGCTCAAATTTTTCAACTTTTCAGCCAATGGGATTTTTATGTCATACGATGACATGATTTTTTTTTTTTTTTTTAATTGAGTGAAATTTTTTATGTTGATTCTTGTCATATCTTATCTTTGTTATTTATGAAAGACACTATTATAACTTAAGCTTCAGAGTCTTTTTGTATATATTCAATATATAATATATGTAAGGGTGGAACTCATTGATAAAGGAGCAGCTCTATTTTAATTTTTAACCCGATCGGGTTGAATTCTCACAACATAGCGCCTAGGGTTGGCAATTCGTGTTTGTGTACCCTGTTCGGGCCAGCACAATTACGACATGATACGATTATAGTGAACACGAATACGACACAATTAATAAATGTGTCAGAAACCCAAACACGAACACGAAACGCTAATAATACGGTTAACATGACATGACACGCTAACACGATTACTAAACGTGCCGTGACGGGCTGACACGAAAAAAACACGTTTATGACCCGTTTATGACCCAACTAGCAAAAATAGTGAAATTTTATATTGTATTCAAAACTATATTAATTGACTACTTAATATCACTTATAGTAAAATCATGCATAATAACCAACACACATTAAACTATTTAAATATCAAACACACACATATATGATACTACTAGATTATTAAGTATATATGTTTCAAAACATACCAATTACCAAACATCCAAAGAAGTTTGAAAACATAACAAAGTACATTTAAATAAGTTTGAAAACATAACCAAACATTTGAATGTTTAAGTGCATAAAACATAAAATAAATATAGGAAAATGTCTTCTTTGAGCCTTGAGGTTGAATGCCTAACTACGCTCTAAAAACTAAAATTAATTTCCAGAGACTGAGTCAGAAGTATGGTTTTGTCCTTATTTATATATATATATATATAGCCTTAATAAACGGGCCGGGTTGTGTCGGCCCGTATAACTAAATGGGTTAAGCGTGTTAACTGAGTTGGCACGAATCCAGACCATTTATTTTCGTGTTATTCGTGTCAGTCCGTTAATGACCAAATTAATAATTGTGCGGTCTAAACCTATTTATCTCGTGTCGTTTTCATATCATTTCATTGTGTCGTGTCTGAAATTATCGGCCCTAATAGAACCCACTCATTGTGGACAACCAAAGGATTGAATAACATATGTTTTCTTAAAAAGAGACGCGAACATTTAATTAAATCTCATGAAATTTTTAATCCGAATCAACTTTTTTTTTTTTTTTTTTAAATTCATTCATCATTATGCCTCGCATTGCAGGACTGTCTTATGTGGTTGGTAGGTCAGTTGCATGTTTGGAATATATCTTAGGTTAAATCTTGTCGGGTCCAACTTTATTTTCATTCAAAAGAAAAATTTTAGAAAATGAAAAACATTTAGGACCGTGTTAAGCGCTATCAAATAAATAGTGGATCTAGTGTGGGATTCATACCACAGAATTCACTTTTTATTAATAAGTGTACTTAACACTATCGGTAACCCATAAATTCTTTAAAAGATGCATCAATAAGTTATTACGGGCCCACCTTAATACATCCTCTGATGCTCAGCACTGCGACTAGCTAGGTTCTGCTATATAGTTGGAAGGTGGTTGGGATTGCAAATCATGAAATAGTAGAAAATAGGCAAATGTAAAAAGTTTAAGAAAGTATATAGACTAATTTTTAGTTATAAAAATTAATAGGTCATAACTTGTCAAGTTATGATTTATAATTAAATAAGTTATGGACAAATTTGTTAAGTTATGGTTCATAATCAGATAAATTATGGATAAAAATAGATAATAACTTGTCAAGTTCATAACCAGACAAGTTATAAACAAAAACAGTAATTTAGCCTATTTATTAACTTATGTAAACTATTGATCTATTAAGTTTAATTCATCTCAAATCTTAGCTTCTTTCCCTCTTTCTCCCTTTACTTTATTACAACATTTATATATTGCATAATTCAACTCGTTTTTTATTTATTCGAGGCCCGATTACAACTTAAAGCTTAGTTTGCCTTTTCTGTTTAATGAGAGGATTGAACGCGTTGAAAAAAGAGAACACCATTCAACTCATCAATCAGGTAATTGAGAATTGAATATCTTATAAATCTGATCATCAAAATGATCAAAATTAGTCGGTCTTTTGACGAAAATCCTTTCTCAGATTTGTCATATCTAGCAAATCTTTTTGTTAAGATTACACAATATAGAAAGCTAAGAAATAGAAAATCAATTATTGAATAATGCTAAGATAGAACGGTCTGTAATAATCCATATTACAAGTTTAAACTGCATGATGTTATTTGAGCCATATATAAAGAAATATCAATTGGTTAAGTTATAGAGGTGATTGGACTTCCAAATCATCTATTTCAATTGTTGGAACCCAAGTTTCGCATCTCAGCTTTATCTATAAATGCTATATATATATATATATATATATCTGTATAAAAACCTTCTCGATCTAGTTCTCAAACTCTACCGTAACACGTACCACGTATTATATTAATCAGTAAAAGATGAATGCGAAATATTCTAAATTTGTGCTGCTTGTGTTTATTGTTTTCCTCTTCCATAATCTGCGCCAGTACTGTTGATTTGGAGGCTGGTTTTCATACTGCTGATGAGGTTTTTGCTCATTACTTTCGGGTAATGAGGTTTTTGCTCGGTCTATGCTGGGTAATACTATTAACTCTGGACGGAGCAACCTTCGTGATAAATGTTGTAGCAGAAGAATCGCCATGAAGATACAAATCACAAGCTATCTCTGCCATCTGATTTCGTTGGTTACTAAGTATTGACTATTGATTAAGTTTCTACATTATATGAAATAATTATTAGATTTCTACAACATAATAATAAAAGTGTTTGTATCCTCTTGTCTTACTTAATCTACTGTTATTTAGTAACTATCTCTTCTTGATAAGCACATATACAATTTCTTTATTTATTTTTCTTTTTCTACTAGGCATAAGACTGCGTGTGTGTATATATACACAACATCAGAAGTTTTGGAGAATCGCGTGCTCTATAGACTTCAGAATTATTGCGAAGAGAGAGAGAGAGAGAGAGAGAGAGAGAGAAACGCTTTAAGTTCTGTACGGTGTTAATTTGGACAGAAACGATTACACGTAAAATTCAAGGAAAATGCAGAAAATAAAAAATCATTGATACTTCACAAGATAAAATGAAAATGTCAATTTAATTTTAGGAGTAGATCAATTTTGGGAGCTACAGTGAAGTCTCAATTAGTACTGGAAACTCTCAATGCATGTATCAATTATTTTTGGCCCACGCATTTCATCACGCGTCAATTATTAGGGAGTTTATCCAACACTACTGACAACAATAAGTTCTAGAACATCTTTACTGTTATTGACACCTTGACATTGATTATTGATACTAACTCCATTAAGAAACAAAAAACCAACCCCAGATCAAATAATTTGACTTCTAGGACTATTTTTCATTTCAAAATCAACTTGACACGAAGAGTTGGCTAAGAGAGAACCCAAAAACGTCTGTATATAATGTAACTTTTGGTTCCATTCACATAACATTCATATGACTCATTTCTGAGTTTCTTGCAAGCAGAACGAATTGCATTACAGTTTTTTAAAAACATTTGTTGGAACTGGATTCTGTTAAGATCCTGGCCTACTACGCATGCCATAAGCAGCTAGACCGGTTTCGAGAATCAGAGATACCAATCGAAAGATGAGTGGTTCCATTCACATAACAGTTCAGATAACTCCTTCCTGAGTTTCTTGCAAGCAAGCCGAATGACTTTACATTTAAGAGTCTTTTAAAAACAATGGTGGGAACCAGATTCTCTAAGACCACGACCTGTGCCATAAGCTGCTAGACCGGTTTCCAGAATCAGAGCTACCAGTTGGATGATGAGATGAACCCCAACTCGAGTCTCTCTCGGGAAATACGGCTGGGAAATGCGGTAGTTGCTCCCTTCCCCAGCCATGAAAATGGCTTGCCATAGGATGTTCTGCTTCATGTGTGTTCCTGTCTGAAGAGCCTGGAGGAGGAAAGACGTAAAAACCAGCATTATGATCGTGAGGCGGAGGTGCTGGCACTGTAGCTGGGCCATCGAATCTCCTGAAACTAGGAACAGTGGGTGACGGCACACCAGGTGAAATGCTGTGTTGTTGATGATGATGGAATGCCTGGATCCTCTCGTGAGTTCGGGCTGTGCCATCAGGAGAATGAGGAACAAATGATGCGACGAATGAGCTCTCCGCTCTGGGATCAGACCTATAAAGATCAGGGACGTGCATATTTTAATGTTCAATCCCTGTATAGCTCATATAAAAGAACATGGAAGCAATCTAAGACATTTTAGCTTTAGAAAAATAAATATTATTTATGAAATTTAAAACAACACCACTTCTGTGACAAGACATGCCATTCTGTTCAGTAACTGAACAGGAATGTTCTTCAAATTTTTTGTCCCTTCTATATGTTATGCCCACCAAATATCAATTAGTAATGAAGTTGAGCTAATAATTCGCATAAAAACACTGAGGCTTTAGTTATGAATATTTTTTTGACACGATATTGAAGACCCTCATTGAGATTATGTTTGAGCATCGAGGAGAATTCAGCAGTTTCTCTCTGAACTCTTTTAGCATGTTTACATCATGATGCCTCTCCTCTGTACTGAAATGTAAAACCTGAATACTAATAGGTTCTTCACCAAGATGTAAGAAGACTTGAGGAATTACTTGCTTACCTAAATACCATCAAGGAAAAATAAACCCATAGATATTCGACCATCTGAGGCATGGAACACTTACCCTTGAACTAACCGAAACAGACGTGCTCTAGACCTCACTACAGCATTAGATTCACCACGAGTAGATCTAACCGTTGCAGATTGGTTTGAAGCTGGATTCACATTGTTGACATGGCTGCTGGATGGTGAGAAAGGAGAAGAATGAGGAGCCCAACTTTGGTATTGGATACTAATGGCGGGAAAAATATGGTGATTAAGGGTCTCATTTGGTCCTCTTAAGCCATTCCAGGGATTAGTTAAGTTGGGATCATCAATGATATTGATAGACCTTGATGATACAGGTGGGATTGGTCTGAAATATGCAACATATGAATGAGGTACAGACGAGGCAGCAATCTGTTCTGCAAACATCGAGTGGTGCTCTCGCAGGTCATGATCTGCAACAAAAGGAACTGCCTTCTGAGATAGTTCAGCTTGCAAGCACCCCTCAGAGATATTCAAACAGGAAAAATCATTAACGACACTTACAAGTGTTCGATGGAGATTCAACTTCCCTGAAGTATATGAAGGGTCAACATGTCAGAGACAACTAATGAAGATTAATCATTAACATAAGGATCAGTCGGAATGCCAAACTTTTTTAGCAGAAAGGTGGGGGGAATTTTCATACGAGAATATGTACCTAATATCTCCTTGTTTATTTTTCCAATTAAAAAAATCTCAACAGAAAGAGCGGAAAGAAAAGGAGAGAGATCAAATTCCAATTCCATCAACCGTAAAGGAAAATTATAATGGGGAACTGTCACAATAGTGAATAATCATCACAAGAGAATCTACACATTCCCAATAATGTATCTGTTCTGACATTTCCAGATCACTATTTTAACTTGTACATTCCCACATAGACGTAGCTGATCTGGAATCATAAACTGAGAAATTTATACATTTTAGTTTTCAATCAGAATGGTAGTGTATGGAAGTTTACATTGTTCGTAGAGTTTCAGGATCTACTTGGGGCTAGGAATTACGCAAATTAATACACACTCAACTCAACATGATATCAAGCAGTAAATGGTCAAAACAGAGTTGCATAACAACAATTTGCTTACTCAAATGATGAATGTATTTGCGCTGCCTCCCCAAATGGACACCAATGAAATCTAAATGGCTGCCGAGGACAATTGAAGAAACAGAACAGCATCATAGATATGTTAAGATAATACTAATTCATAAGCCTCACTAGCATTTTATACAAGTGTCTTAAAAAAATTGTCCTGTATTAGCCATAGGGACCAAAGTTTAAAATCAAAATCACAATGCAGCAGACTGATTGCAACATCAGAAGATGGAAGCTAAAGAATATTTCAGTTCCAGCAAAACGCATTACAAGAATCTCAAGATAAAAGTGCACATCCTAAAATGAAGACATTTTGATTTAAATAAAGAAGATAAACAATGAAAAGGAGAAGAGAGAAAGAAAACGCTGTACAAGTTTGTCGTATCACAAAAGAACTTTCTGATTTGAGTTGTTCCCTTGCACAAAAGTCAATAGCAGGACAACGTCAATCATGAGCCATTTTATGGCTGAGGTGTGCAAGTTCAAAAATGTTTGACAATTGATACGCAACATGAAACCATGATATACTAAAATAGAAGTGGAGAGGTAATTTACTGTACCATTTCAGCATAACCCATGTCATAGGGATCCTCATCAGGAATCCAGTCATCTATGGTAAACTCAGGAAATGAGCGGGTAGATCCGTTAGCATACAGCCATTGACCATTCTCAACTTTCCGGCAGTTTGGACATTGCATTGCCCCCTTCATATTAAATGCTGAACCAATGCAATCTGCACAACATATCAAAATCTACATTAATAACATTCGAATGCATATATCAGCACATCCAAAATGTTTATAAAATACTGAAAATGCATAGATCAAACCCAAGCACGTTGAGACTACATAACTCATCATAGGATTTACCCTCATTAAGAAAACGAAATCCACGTGAAACAATGAAGGGAAACAGAGTATTAAAAAATTAAAGGCCAAGAACTCTCAAAAGAAATTTAAAGAATACTACAATAGGAGAAATTTCTTGATCAAACGAAAATTGATAAGACAAGGCAAAAATCCTGACATCAGAGACTAATCAAGCACTCAAAAAGGCTAATGAACTGATGACATGAACATTTTTAAAGGAGCAACAAGAATTTAGGCTAATTATATTCTTTCCCTTACCTATAGCCTATAGGAGAAGTATCCTCAACAGGATTAGATGAATTGGATTTAATCAAAGACGCCAATACTATCATAGAGTAACAACTCTATTATTTTTCCTGAGGAGGTGTGGGGGACAGAAACTTAGGCGTCCACCACAGGATCGTAGAGGGTCTGACCCAATTCTATTAGAATGATGGGCTAAATTTCACTCTTATCACCTCGGGTCCCAACACCGCAGAAGAAATTGACCGGACAAGGACTTTAAAGTGACACTATAGCGTATCAAACCTTGAACCTATCCATGAAGGAGAAGAAGGGAAGGCATCCTAACTACGGCACCACCCTAGGTCTATATGAAGAACATGCTAAAAACTCATCAAGTGAGTCCATACCAGCAAGAACTATACAATGACGGCCTCATCAACTTGCTATTTTCAAAAACGAGAAATTTAGAGCAAAGCTACTCTAAGCTAAGCTAGGAAAGTGGTAACCAGATTCCATATATCTACTTAATGCAGTAAACATTCAACACGAGCTGGAAATATCATAGAAACAAACGACATGTAGAGTGTAAGAATGACTTTTGATATCACAATTGAACGATGATCTCCAATTACAAAGTTAACTTGTTTCTTCTTCTTTTTGATCTTCATGATAATTCCCATAAGATGGATTTTTTCTTTACTTTACTTTTCTTCTTAATTTTTGCTTCCCATCTTATTTCTCTGACAAAAATCTGTTTAACTAACAGATAAATTCAGCAACAGCCAACAACAAGACAAGAATAAACATATCTATAACCTAGACAGGAATAAACAACAGCTAAAAGAGGAAAAATCCCAGAACCAGATATATAATCCAGAAGTCAAAACCTTTACAATCCAAGCACCAATGTCCCTCTCTCTCTCTCTCTTTCTATTGTTTTCATATATTTCTCTCTCCTTTCCATTAGCTTTTCTAAGACAGACCCAGAAGCCAATCAACAAAGATGAGCTAAAAACAGGAAATCAAAAGAAACATTGCGAGAAAGGACAAACCCAGATGGAATTCATGGCCGCATTGCAGCTTAGCCCTCGATCTGCCTCGATTATCCGTCACCAAATCAAGGCAAATCGAGCACGAAACATCCCCAGAAGACGGTTGATGATCATCGTCCATTTAATGATGGTGGTGGTGGTGGTGATGATGATTATGAGAACTATGTTCTTCTGAGCCTTCCTTCCTCCAATGAAAACCCACTTATACGCCAAAAAAAAAAAGGAAAAAAAGAAAAAACTGACCCAGAAATCTCTATCTTTGTTTCTCTCTCTTTCTCTCTTCGGCCTGTCAGTTTACGCGGATCAGACCCTACGTGGACTGTGTTGGAATATTTTATTATTAGATAATACAACGTTTTCTGTTGGACTATGTTTTAACGGTTGCGAGTGCTTGTGTATAAGAAATTTAAAGGACGTTTGGTTGGAGGATTTAAATTATGTGATTTGAATTATTTTTTATTTATGTAAATTTTTTATGAGAGAAAATATTATAGTGAATCATGAATCATGATTCGAATCAGGAAATGAATCCCTCTACCAATTCTCTTCATTAATTTAAATTTTTAATTTTAATTTTATTATAATTAAATTTTTTTATAAAAAATCACATTTAATTTTTTTATTACAGTTAAAAACTCTAATATAAAATTATATCTCAATTCTCAACTCAAATTAAAAATTTGAATTGACAAACTAACCTAACCTCTTCACTCAATTTATTACAACCCAACAACTTGTGTTTTAAGTTTCGTTCTTATAGGGTACCTCACATGGATAGAACATGTTTTTTTATTGTTAGATTAGACGTTATAAAAATCATACTAATTTTTTTTATTTAAAATAAACAGTTTTCTATATAAATATAGCAGTTGAAAAACAAAGATACACCAATAATTCATTTATTAAAATCCTACCATAAGAATCTCTTTTAAATTACCCCACATCCTGAAAATTGACGTCCTTGTATTAACTGTTTCTTTTTTTTTTTAGTTATCTACTTTGTACATAGTGGAGAAAAAGTGTTGCGATTACTAAAAGAAAATGAGTTGAGGGATTCAAATTCAAGACTTCAAGCTTTAAGTGAGTGTAAAACTATTATTATAACAAACATGCAAGTACTATTATGGTATGTTTACCTACACGTAATTGAAATGAGTATGAATTGGAGTTGGTAGGATTCAGAGTGAAGAATCAGAGTCAGAATAAACTATTTACTTAGTAATAAGATTCAGAATCAGAATCATTGCAAATCTCATTCATACGTTTACTTATATCCAGAATCGGAATGAAAAAGTGTAAAAATACTAATATACCCATTAAATCAATTTGATATTTTCAATTTAAAAAATATATTGTGTACTTATTATATTAAAATTAATCATAATTAAAATATTTAGTGTAATAATTGGGTACTAAAATAATAAATATAAATTGTACAACTATTTAAAATATAAAAATAAATTTTAAATAAAATAAATAAAAATAAAAAATAGTGCTAAAAAATAAAATATATTATTAATTTATTAAAAATAAAGTACATATTTATTATATTAAAGTTAACAACAATTAGGCTAATGTTATAATATTAGGCAAATAAAATAATAAATATATGTTGCATTTATTATTTTTTGAATTTAATTTGTAATTGTGTATTTATAAGTAGCATAAGGGTATAATAGTAAATTAATATTAATATTAAAAATGAGAGTCTCAATCCTAAGGGGGGCATAAGAGTGTCAATCTCATTCCTCAAACCAAATTTGAGTGGGGCCCATTAATCTCACTCTCGTTCCAAGCTAAAAAAGAACAAGTAAACATGGGATTGACTCTAATTTTCCACTCTCATTCTTCAATCATGATAAGTAAACATGCCATTAGAGTTTTCGCTTTAATCCGTTTTTCCCTACCAAAATTTGTGAATTTTAAGATTTATATACAAATGTAGGGCTGGTTAAAATTTAACTAAGCGTGATTGTTTTGGACATTTGGTTAGCCTTTTCATTCTATCAATTTTATAGTATGTTTGCTTCAAAATTGGAGGAAAATAAAAAATCTCTTTCGTAAAGTGAGATAAATTTTTTTAATAGGATATAAAAAACCATGTCAGTACTGTACTGTATTGTTAAATTATATTATAAATATGTCATTACTACAAATATATACAAATTTAGTAGAATTAATATAATTCTAATAATTTAAAACCGCTTCATACATACTAATAAGTTACCCTACAACATAATTCCTTACGTGAGTTATCATAAGCTTTTAGAATCATTTGCAGTTGCAGTATTAAGACCAGACAAAATCGCTTCTTTCTTTTTCTTTTTTCCAAAAGAACCCAAAAAGAAAAAAAGAAAAAAAGAAAAAAGCCTTGATCAACGCTTACATATCAATTCTGTTTGGTGAAAATTCGAAGAAAGTTCAATTTATACTCATTCCAAAAGTGAGATTACGCAAGTACCCAAAATCATATTTATGGATAACTAATGTCTTATTCATTTCATAACTCAAGTCACAATTTAAGTTTTATTGTTACAGTGTTTCTCTTACAAAAATTTAATTTCTACTTTCTTAATACAATATTTTTCTCCCGCCTATATAACTCAAGTTATGAATAGAGTTATGAAATGAACACACCTTAAAATTCTCCATCTAACAAGTAGAGCTTTTAGATATTCCTTATCCTTCGGATCTCTAACATTACCATTAAGTTTGGCCTTAAGATGTTGTTTGGCACAAAGGAAGATCAACGAAATGGGCTGTAGAATGTCAAAAAAGATAAATGTGTTCATTCTATTGAACTAGTTACAAAAGACAAGTGAATTGTATCATTAATTTAGCCTCAGCTCCAAACCCCACTTCCTCGCCCCACAATACAAACACAAACACAAACTTGTACGAACGACTGCACAAAATTTGGAACTTTCATTAATATGGACCATATATGTACAAGGAAAAACACCAAAAAGGACAAAAGAAAAATATCAAGACGTTCCGAGTTCCAACAAGTTAGTACAATGGTAGGAATTGTGGTATTTAATTGCCTATGAATTCCCTTGCAATCAACAATTATCTACGTAAGGTCATTCATCGAAAGCATAATGATCGATTTGTTGTGGTATTTAAGTGCCAATAAATTTTCTTTTAGTCAACAAGTGTTTAGATAGGGTCATTCAGTGAAAATATTATGATCGCTTTAAGGTATTTAATTGCCTATGAATTCTCTCAGTCAATAATTGTAAACAGGGTCATTCAGTGAAAGTATTATGTTGGATTACGAGTGTTTTTTGCTTGTGTGTGTTTATCAAAAAAGAGTTAGTACAAAACAAGTCCAACTCTGCCGCGTTAATTGGCTAAAACCTGTTACGCGGTGAACTACTATGGTACTCCATGTCACAAACAGAAACACTCTCAACCATCAATCCACACCCCGTCAAATTCCTTCCCACCATATCCTAAGTGAATCTATTCGTACAATGTTGAAATGAGCGTGAAAAACAAAAACATGCATATTTTTCAAATCTTTCTCATCATTTCATGGGCAACATCTTTTGATTTCCAAAACTCATGATAATTTCCTTCGAAATTATTGCTTCAGTCCAAAATTAAACGCCCCCTCAACAACCATTACCGTAATACCAACTTTACCTTTGTCCAACACTTTGATCCAGGCTCTAGCCAATGGGTCATTTTCCCTCATCAATGATCAAACTAGCATATATAGCAATGACTCAAGAGATGCGCCAGCAACCGCAGGCATTTACTATAGTACCATTTCAAACTAGTGTCATCAAATGCGGCCTCCTGCCAAGCATACTTTGCGCAAGTTTGGACTGCATCCATATGCACAAGTTTCGATCCTCTGTCCAGATCAAATTGTCTCCCACGTTTCCTCGTCTCCGCGCCTCGAGCAGTAATGGCTGCAAATTAAGAATCTATAAAATTCGAAAACTTGCATAAGACAGATCAAGAAAGTTCAATTCAGCAGATGAAAACCAAGGCCTTAAGACCAATATACACAATAATACTCATTACGAAATTGTAAGGGTGGGCACAGATATTCAACTAGATCATAAGCTTAGATGTGTCATACAAACGCAGTAATAACTACCGAACTAAGGCGAATTTATCACTTGCTATATTGATAATTTCCTCGTAATCACCACTTAATTATGTGGCGAGGTAGTCATTACGAATTTTTCGTAAAAAAAACAAAACAATAAAAACCAAAATAAAAACCAAAACAAATAGGCACGGTGAAATCAAGATGTGTATAACTTTCCAACTATGCCCTTTCGTCATCCAAGGACGAAAGAACTTTTGAGAATGTCAGAAAAGCTATGGAAGTCAAATAAGTGGTAGGAGCGGTTGGACTTGGATATTTCCTGCGGGGCCCAGTTAGCCCCACGTTACAAAGTAGATTGCAGTTTTTTTTTATTGTTTTTTTTTTTTTTTTTTTTTTTCAAACAAAACAAATAGGCACGGTGAAATCAAGATGTGTATAACTTTCCAACTATGCCCTTTCGTCATCCAAGGACGAAAGAACTTTTGAGAATGTCAGAAAAGCTATGGAAGTCAAATAAGTGGTAGGAGCGGTTGGACTTGGATATTTCCTGCGGGGCCCAGTTAGCCCCACGTTAACAAAGTAGATTGCAGTTTTTTTTTATTGTTTTTTTTTTTTTTTTTTTTCCAATAAATGAAGTGGAATGCAGTTTTTGTTTGTTTGTTTTTTTTTTTGTTTTGTTTAATTAATTATACAAAAGCGTTGTTAACCTGTGTGCTTTCCATAGCAAAAGACCTCCCTGTAAACCACGATTTACCGGTCGATCTTCTTACGCAAACATCAATTTATTGTGTACATAGAAGCGAGTTCATGTATGTAAAACACATGTACACTGTCTGTAGCAAGCAGCTAAAACCTTAAAGATAAGAACATTTCAAATTGTGGATTACAAATTTTATTTATTGTATCACATCTTCACCAGTTCAAGCTCTATAGACTATAATAGTCTTGCTTATTTGAAAGCCTTCAGTGTTTGATTTTAGGCCTTTTCACGATCATCACGGAGCAGTGAGCATGATGAGCACAATAGTCACTTACACTGCCCAAAACCGCCCTGCATCGATCAAAGCTTGTGAAGACCAGAAAAAACATCCATTCCAACCAAAAGTAATCCAAGTAAAGGAATAGCAAACGAGGATAAGGATTCAAACAATTAACAATTGCCTTTGAAAAGATTTTCCAAGGTACTTTTCAAAGGCACAAGAAGTACATGTTGCCTTACTTTATTATGTCCTCTTATATCATATATGTTCCTAGGGCAGCTGCAGAAAGCAAACTATATTGTATATGTGGTAACACATAAACTTGGTGTGCATTTTGCAATTGTGATTCCACACAAAAGATTAGATAATGGGGCGGGTAACATTACCTCTTTATAGCTCCATAACCATGGCTACCCACAACCAAGGCGGATGCATGGTGTTTATCGACAGCCTCGCAGAGAACGTTCCTAGCATCTCCTTCTACAACCTCTGCAAGAAACACATTTACCTGCACAGCACATGGATTGTTCAGAAAGAACACCTAGCATATGCAAATCCTTTGCAGGTCAACTAAAAGGCTTCAATATTGAAAAGATTTCTAAAATATACTTATCTAGTATAGACACTTCCAGCCGACACGATCTAATTAAGCAGAAATACAAGTACCCTAATACAACTACAATTGTTGGCTTTTGTGTCATAATTTGTATTTGAGAACGAAGTATGAGGGATATGGAATCAAGTTTAAGAAATGTTGAAGAGAAACTTCAACAAAGTTCATTTTCTCAGCAACGCTACATCAATAGAATAAAGAAAGACCTGAACTCACACAAGCTTTATAATTCACATACTGTTTAGTAGAATTTTAGTGTGATGAAGAAGAAGATGATAAGAGAATCACATCTCACGTTTTTCAGACTACTCTCATCCCAACCCCCCAATATAAGTAAAACTAGCACAATTGAACAAACAAAGTCTATCTACTTACTAACTCTGCATTAGGACAATAATTAAGCTCGACAGAGTCAACATCTTCAAGTATGAAGATTAGCCTCGTTCATTTCGTTTGTTCAAGTTTTCAACTCATGTTGAAAAGTGAATTTACGTGAGAGAAAACATTATAACACGTGAGTTGAAAAGTGAATTTATGTGAGAGAAAACATTATAACACAAGAAGTTAAATTTTATTTATTTTATTTTATTTTTTTAGAGAAAACACTATAGTAAACGCTTGAGTTGTGATTCAAGCCATCGAAACGAATGAATCCCTAGTTTAGGACCGAACACAATGCAAAGAGTCAGCGATCATATTATGCCACAAGAACATCAAAAACCATATCAGAGTACTGATCACTGGAAACTAAGATCAGAGTACTGATCACTGGAAACTAATACTTCCACTTTTACTAATCTACCAGTACAATCAGCTTCGACAACATAAAAATGAAGATGAAACTATTAAGAATAATGATAAGCAACTTGCTGCCTCGTAACTACTATTTCTAACTACTCATAAACAATCCAAACAATCATCAAGAACACCAACTTTGAAGCATACAACACAAATTCATACCGATTTCCTGGCGCAAATTTCCTTAGCCTTCTCTACAACTCGTGCGGCGATCCTCCTGAGATCCGTGTCCACAAACGGCAAAACCTCCGCCGCACCTAGAGTTCACGAGATCACACATACATTCACCCAAATTAAACGCCATGATCAATCAATTAGCCACTCAATTCAGACAGTTAATCACGCAAATAGGCGTAATTAGAGTAAATTGGGGATTATACCAGGGCCGGCGAGACCCACGGCGGAGGTGGGCGTGGGCTTGGCGTGGACGATGACGAGCTTGAACGGCGGATTCGAAGCGTAGGGAGCGAAGAAGTGGTCAAGAATCCACTCCAGAGCGTAGTGGCTCTGTTCGCTGTCGTCGATTCCAACCACCATCACTGGCTTATCAGCGGTAGCCATGTTGCGTTTTTGTTGTTGTTCTTCTTCTTCTTCTCTTTCTCTTTCAGAAGACGAGTTTGTCTGTAAAATGTGACGACTGGGGGTTTAATAGTAGCACAGAGAATAAGTGAAGCTTGGAGAAGCCGCTACAAATATAATAATAAATTAAATTAAAAAAATTGTTGTTTTACGGCTTTTGATGCTTTCTAGAGATGAATTTATTAGAATTGCAACCAAAAGACGGCGTCGTGCTGGGAAGGATTCGCACACGTGGCATTGCTTTCAGTTTCCAATTGGCGATCTTCTCTGTTTTGTTTTTAGTATTATTATTATTATTATTATTTTTATTTTTTTGGCTGAAAAAGAAAAACGCATTGTATGGTTTACGCAAATTAAGAACCGGAATAATTAGGCAGCATCCGATGAGATTTAAAAAAAGGAAAGGAGTTTCTCTATTAGCTTGACACCGTTAATTTTTAATAGTTAGATAAAGTTAAAATCACATTAAATTAAAAAATATATAAATTTAATAATTGAAAATGAAATACTACTAGTAGTTATTTTTTTAAATCCTACTAAAAAAGCTTCCAAAAAAAAAAAAGAAAGAAATAGAAAGAACAATTTGATGCGACTAAAAACTAGGGAGAAGCAGCTACTTAGAATTTTTTTTTCTTTTAGCCGTAAATTCAAGATCTTTTGCATTTATCTATAACTATATTAGAAATATAAATGAGTTTACTATTCATGTTCTCATAAAATACTTTTTAAAGTTTTAGTAAAGTTATTTTATCTTTTATCTCTTTTTTGTTTTATGGTGCTTTTTTTTTTTTTGTTACCCTACAAGTGAAGTAGGACATTTTAATTATTGAATTAGTTTTTTAACGATTAGATATGAAAATTTATAACGTGTTATATAAAATTATTTTTGTTACAGTCTGACCGTTAAAAAATTAATCTAACGATAAAAATCCAATGCTCCGCTGATAGAGCAAAAATGGAGATTCCAACGACCGATAGAGTAAAAATGGAGGTTGCACCGTAAAGGCTCGCTTGATGCATTCTATTTCTTCAGGATATGCCATGGAGCCCAATTTTAACCGTGGGATGATGAAAAGAAACGGTAATTATTTGTTGAAGAACTTTCAACAAAAAGGCTGAAATCTGAGCTATGTAAACAGGATTTGCTAAAGGTTTCACGAGTTTTTTTTTTGTTTTTGTTTTTTACTCCGCCTTCTTTGCCATAGTTATAACTTTTTTACTTTAACTTCTCCTTTCTTCCAAGGGGATAGCATTCTTAAAGATTCAAACTAAACCTAATCTAGTTCCAGTCGGAGAATTTACGTTCTCTATTAGTTCAACATCTTACAAACAACTATATATCATGTTTCTTTCTAGTGTTGAAAACCAGATTGCAGCATATGAAAAATAAACAGTACTAACAAGGAGAACTAAACCTGGACAATGAGAACATTCTCGGAAGTATATATGGGCGTTAATAAGGAAGTCAGTGATCCACTTGAGCGCGTCATGAGCAGGCGCCAATTGGTTCGCGGCATCCATTTGATCTCCAACATCGTCGCTGTGCGTGAAAGCCATCGGGAAACCGGACTTAATGTGATCTCCGGCGTCGTACTTTCCTTTCGAAAGGTCCACCTTCGCCTCGCTTACATCTCTCGGACCAGAATTACCTCTCCACAAATATCTCGGTGTTCTCAAACTTACCAGCGACCACAACGAAACAGATTAATCTATTGTTATAAATACTATAATTGGTATCACTCAAATAGAAAGTTAGAGATTATTTAGAAAAAGAGAGAAGCCGTACACACATACATATTTGTACGAAGAAGAGTTGCATGAAGATTTGGAGAGCGTCGGCATATTTCTGAGAAATCGCAGCCTCATCGGAGTGCTTCTCCCATAGCTTCTTAACAATCCCGTCCACAACAAAGATTAGAATCAGAGCCAGCTATTTGTCCAGATTTCCAAACAACTCTTGATGGTCGGATCTCCTTTCTCAACATCCTTCACTCACTCCTCTACTGGTGGGAGTTGGAGATTGTGCCACAGAAAACACTCCGATGCTCAAGTCAGACTAATATCTAAAAAAGGTCTAGGATGAGAGAATTAAGACGAAGAATAAGAAATAGAACTGTCTCTTCTTCTGATTTTTTAGGGATCGGCATCTTCATCATTTCCATCCTTTTTTTTATACTACGTCTGTCATGCTCAGATAAATGTTCTTGATCTCTTCTAATCATTACACGTCGTCATTCTTTTTTCTTTAAGATTTCTCCTTGGACGTTCCTCTTTTGGAAGGTCCTTAGAGATTTTTCTTCATTCGAAAAGGTCACTTTCCATTCCGTTATTTACTTTACACGTGTCTCACCCATATTAAATGCATTAATTGAGGTGATAGTGGAGCGTGTGTCGCTGTACGGAGATTCTCATGCTGACACAAAGTCGTTCTCTCCATCACCTCGATCTCGGTCTCCTTGCGTCGGATCCTTCTATCGACCTCGATCTTAGTACGGTCTTGGTCTCGGTCTTGCTATCTCGATCAAGGCCGTGCTCTCCCTTGATCGAGTTGGGTTTCGGTCTAAGACACAGTCAACATATTGGTCTTGGTTCTGGTTTCCCATCTCCGGTCGGTCCGTGACATGTATCTTGATCTGGGGAGTTCTCGGAAAAATCTCCCAACACCAACGACCGCCGCTGCAGTAGTCTTCCGTTTTGATTTTTCGTTCATATTTTCTGCTAACACAAACCAAACCGAAGTTTTACGCTTCACATTGGGCTCAATCGATAGGAATTTGTTGTAATGTCCGTTAACATAATCTCCAGGTTTAGAAGATCATTAGCAGCTAGTCGTGTTCTCTAATAAAAGGAAAACGTGCAGGTTGATAAGAGGATCTAGAGAGTAGGATTAGGATTATCTAAAATCTCTAAATTCTGCATTTAAGTTTTTTTTTTTTTTTTTTTTCTAACCAATACTTATCTAATTTTTTCCCCAGCAGTAAGAGGTTTATCTAGATAATTTTCGTGTGACAATTCTGATTTAATTTTTAAGCTTCTTCATATCTCTAGCACGAATTCCATTAAAAAATATATATATCTCGCACGAATCCACATCAAGCAAGGGTAATAATTTTTTTTTGAAATGATTTTTTTTTTTTTGGGAAAATCGTATCAGATTAATTTGTTTACATGTCAAAATATATGGTTCTTTACCTTTAAGATATATTTACTATATAATAAAAGCCTCTTAAATCAAAGACATAGGGATAAAGACAATCGGGGATTATATAATAAAAGCTTCAAAATATATTTACTATATAATATATTAGATTAATTTTGATACGTACAATCGGGGATAAAAACATAGGGACAACATTGTACCACCATATTCAATTAGGTGGTTACTTTTCAAATAATTAATTTAAAACTGTGTGAACAATTCCAAGTTTCCTTGAAAAAAAAAAAGAATAAATAGCATTGTTGCATCATAATTTTTTATTTTTTACGTCGTATATCCGAAACTTTTAATGTTAGTAAATTGCACTTAAAACTTAAAATTAATAATAATTGAAGATCAATAACTAATAAGCATTAATTTATTAACGATTCAAATATGAGAATAGCGCATAATCTTTTTTTTTTTTTTAAGAATTCTTTTTAGAATTGATCCAATATGAAATCAATATTGCCCCTGTATTCACTATTGTCCTTTTTATTTTTAATTTCTTTAAGTTGATCTATTCTGGTTATAAAAAGGTAGTTATTATTAAGAGGTAAAATAAAAGAAAGATGACTATCATAAAAGGCCATCTACCTATAAAAAAAAAAAAAAAAAAAAAAAAAAAAAAAAAAAAAAAAAATCGACACATCACACATAATAAAAAGAGGTAGCTAAATCAGTCATCTACTTAATTTTACTGTGTCGGTAGTACAATAGACTATTAGGGGTAGTTATGATTAAGAGGTAAAATAAAAGAAAGATGACTATCATAAAAAGCCGTCTACCTAAAAAAAAAAAAAGGATTGACACATAATAAAAAAGGTATTCTAAACCAGTCATCTACTTAATTTTACCGAGTCGGTAATACAATAGACTATTATTGGTAAGATAGTAGACTACTATTTGGCAAGAGGATAGTAGCCACATATTTCGATCAATATTTTAAAGGAATCTTCTCTGATATGTTAAAATATTGATATGTTAAGTTTTTTAATCATTAAATTTACATAAAATCATGTAAAATTAAAAAATATGTAGATTTAACAGTTAAAAAAATATTATCAATCAGTACACCAGTATATCAAAGAATCTTTCTATTTTAAATAACAAAAATTACAAAAACTAATCCATAGTGTTCGGTTGTAGCATGCGTTAAAAAACGCCCAAGCGCCCAACTGCTTACATGGAGAACAGCTAATATTTTACCAAAAAAAGAAAAAAAAAAGAAAAAGAACATACTTATACACACGAGATAACTAATTAACTGAATGTAGGGAGGCTTTATTTAAAAAAAAATAAAAAAAATAAAAAAAAACCCTGGTTGTAGAGAAGCAGACAATGGATCCTGTGGTGGCCCAGCAAGAATGCGCAAGGGAGCCTCCTTATCAAAGGGGCTTCGGGCTTTATCCATCAAATTGTGGCTCGTATATGATTTTTTTTTCTGCTTTTTGAAGGGTGATTTTTTTTTGTTTTAATAAAAAAGGAAAGTTGAGCAAAATATTCTTCTAAGTGAAATTAATTACATCATCTCAAAAAAATGAAAATATGTACTAGATTTAAGATGTCAGTGAACGTGTGGTCACAAGTATAAACCAATAGTAGATTCGTGGTATTATAATAATAATAATGATAGTTGCTCTCTTAACATGTCAACAGAAACCATTTGGAGAAGCATTATCTAACGTTACACTAAACACCTTGCTCTCAATTCCCCAATCACTCAAAAAACTATAAAGTTAAATCAGTCATCTACTTAATTTTACTGTGTCGGTAGTACAATAGACTATTAGGGGTTGTTATGATTAAGAGGTAAAATAAAAGAAAGATGACTATCATAAAAAGCCGTCTACCTAAAAAAAAAAAAAAAAGGATTGACACATAATAAAAAAGGTATTCTAAACCA